TAGAATATATTCCTAGAATATACTCCTAGAATATACCCCTAGACGCCTAGAATATACTCCTAGAATACACCCCTAGACGCCTAGAATATAATTTTCTAGATTAAATTATTTAAAAAGCAATCCTTCCTAATATGTAATAATCCTAAAATATTTACCTAGCATATTAAATGTATATTGCTGAACCAGGTAAGCAAACACAATATTCAGAATAAACAGAATAAACAGAATAAACAGAATAAACACAATAAACAGAATAAACACAATAAACAGAATAAGCAGAATAAACAGAATAAACAGAATAAACACAATAAACAGAATAAACACAATAAACAGAATAAACAGAATAAACAGACTAAACAGAATAAACATAATAAACTGAATAAACTGAATAAACAGAATAAACACAATAAACGCAATAAACAGAATAAACACAATAAACAGAATGAACATAAAAACAGAATAAATGGAAGAAACATAATAAACATACAATAAACAGAATAAACAGAATAAACAGAATAGGCAGAATAAACAGAATAGACAGAATAAACAGAATAAACAGAATAAACAAAATAAACATAAAATAAACAGAATAAACTAATAAACAGAATAAACAGAATAAAGAGAGCAAAAAGATTATTTTTTCAATCGTGAACATTTTCTCTTTGTATACCTTGTAAAACAAAACAAACAAAAAAGGTTTCATGAAAAAAAATTCAATTTTTCAAAATTTAATTAAAATCGAATTTTGCTGGAGAGTAATTTTTTTAATTTTGATCATCCATAAACCTTCCCTGGGGCCATGTGAGGTCCCTCACAAAATTTGGGCTTGATAGGTTCAGCCGTTTTGACGTTTAATTGGATACAAACATACACCCAACCCAGACAGACAAGCAAAGTATATATTAAAACTGTCAATAGTTACCAGATTTTCATTTAATGACAATCGAATTTGGTTGGAGGCTAATTATTTAATTTTGATCATTCATAAACCATAAACCACAACAAAATTGGGCCTGATCGGTTCAGCTGTTTTAACGTTTATTGGATACAAACAGACAAGCACCCAAACAGACAAGCAAAGTATATATTTAGATACAGAATTAATTTTTCTGTAGAAAATATGATTTTTGATGAACTGGGAAGAAAAAAAAGTCTATATTAAAAGGCATGTTGTTTTAGGGGGGGGGGGCACAAAATCTTCTTGGGCCTACACTAAAGCTCTCATACGCCCCTGAATTTTGATTTGTTTAGCTAAAACCCTGGAAAGTTCAATTTCACAGTAAAGCGCCTCTATTTTAAAATAATAGCAATTTACTCATTATTTAATTTTGATATTGTTAATTTCACAATTATAGGGTCGGCAAGGTCCGGGGGACAAGAAGCACAGGGGGAGGGCAGTATTCAACCAATTTTATATATTTTCAATCATATCTTTATCTTTTTAGTGCTGATGAAAAGAATGGTAACACCGCATGCACCTTTTCTCCAACTTGTGCGTAAAATCAAAACTAGAGAAGCTACGAAGTCACAAAATTGTTGCAGTATAATGTCGCAGTGAAGATGCGGAGCCCCCCCCCCCACTCCTAAAAATCAAGCTTGTCCCCATTAGAAAATTAAGAAACCCAAAACATGTGTGTTTGATGTTTCCCCTGGAATTCCGACCAATCTTGTTTATTGTTCCGATTATTTCCGATTGAATTGAATAATTATGACGCAAGCAGTAACACAGTTCCGTCAAAATGAAGAAGAAACTATATAATCATGTCACTTGTCAGATTTATCAATTAAATTTCTAATAAATAATTGAGCAATGCTTTTCCGTCTTTTTAGACCATTAATGGTTAGTCTATTAACTTCTTTTGTTTCTCAAAAGAAAGAATTTTAAGAGAAATTTGGTCTGGAACGGAGCCATATTTATCAGTCTTAAACGGAGTTAGTGTAAGGTGTATCTGTCTTGAACGGAGTGTAGTATCGTCCGTCTTAAACGGAGTCGCAGGGACGGGCCGGGCCGGAGTTTTTATTTTGCTCCGAGTTTGAAAATGAACGGAGAAACTGAGATCACATTCAGTTCAGTTCAGAATCAGTTGTTAGTTGACCGGGAGCAGTGAGGCAGGATAAACAGAAAGTTAGACATTTCGAACAGTTTAACAGTAAATAGTTGTATTTCTGAAATACGTGAAATAATTTGGATCTTAAACAAATAGTTTTATTTTAACTATTTTAAAAATCTACATCTACAGACTGAAATTGAATTGTTCAGGTAAGCATTTAATGTATATCAAAAATCTATCTATCTCAGCTGTATAGTTAGGAAATATCCCCTTTCGGGAATTAAGTTTTTGACTTTCTGGAATTTTTTTGCTAATATCTTAGAAGCTCTTCCCCCCCCCCCCCCCCCCCTTTCACCCCCTATAGTCTTCTACAACTTAAAACCTAGCACTCTTCTTCGGCCTTTAACTTGACTTTTTGGAAGATAAAGGGAAACGCAAAAAAAACTATTTTCTAACTTTCTAAAATCCAATTATTGCCTTGATCCTTAAACAATTGAACAAATCTTATTTCACACTTAGTTTATTAATGTTCACATTTGACCGGTATAAACATTGCATTAAATAATATTAGAAAACAAACAAAAATGAGGGCGTCGGCGTAAAGGCTTATCATAGGTTTAACTGAAAACACGCTTTAACAAGTAAGAATTCATGTATTATTAAAAATACAATGAATTGATTAAGTAAAACAAAGTCTACGAAAAATAATCAAACTAATTTACACAGATAATTTAACAAACCTACCCGGTATCTCCCTGACCAAGTTAAGCAATCACTGAATAAACATGTTTGTTCTTACAATTATATACCAATTGTTTGTTATCATAACAAACCAGATTTGAGTACGATTCTTTGGTTTAGTTGCAGTACGATATGAATCCCAGGGGCAACAAATATTTAAACTATTAAAGAGGGAAATTATTTTCTAAATATTCCTGTTTGACGGGACATATATACACTCAAGGAACTTTTTATTTCAATTCACAACGATACCCTTCAAACCTTTATCTAACGAATATATCCGTATTTATAAAGCTGGAAATTAATAACATTTATAAAATATTCTAATCGAATGACTGCAAGAAGAGACATCTATAGCATATCATTTACTCTCTATATCATTCCTTTCTTTCAGCTAGTTTTCCTCTAAAGCCAACCTTTAAATGTTTTTAAACAGATCTTCACTTCTATTGTGAGATTTTCCTTAATTTTATCAAATATTATGATCTCTTATGGATTTCAAAGTTTAATCTTATTTCCAACAGATGGCAGCAGCCGATAAGATGGTAATACGTAGAAAGTAAACAATATACTAGATATTTCTCTTCTTGCAGTCTCTCGCAAGACCTCAAAATTGTTGGTGTACTGCATATCCATATTATTTGATCCATTTTTCAAACATGTAAGATTTCGATCATACGTGCATTTTATTTTAGTTTGACGTTTACAAACACATAGAATATACTCCAATAGTAAACTCCTAGAATATACTCCAATAGTATACTCCTGGAATATAATCCAATAGTATACTCATAGAATATACTCCAATAGTAAACTCCTAGAATATACTCCAATAGTATACTCCTGGAATATACTCCAATAGTATACTCATAGAATATACTCCAATAGTATACTCCTAGAATATACTGCAATAGTAAACTCCTAGAATATATTCCTAGAATATACTCATAGAACATACTCCAAGAGTATACTCCTAGAATTTACTCCAAGAGTATACTCCTAGAATATATTCCTAGAATATACTCCTAGAATATACTCCTAGATTATACTCCTAGAATAGACTCCTAGAGTATACTCCTAGAATATACTCCTAGAATATATTTCTAGAATATACTCCTAAAATATACTTCTAAAATATACTCCTAGATTATACTCCTAGAATAGACGTTGAGAGTATACTTATAGATATAGTCCTAAAATATGTTTCTAGAATATATTCCTAGAATATACTCCTAGAATGTACTCGTAGAATGTATTCCTAGAATATACTCCTAGAGAATACTCCTAGACGCCTTGAATAAATTCCTAGTATATATTCCTAGAATATACTTCTAGAATGTACTCATAGAATATATTCCTAGAATATACTCCTAGAATGTACTCCTAGAATATATTCCTAGAATATATTCCTAGAATATACTCCTAGAATATACCCCTAGACGCCTAGAATATACTCCTAGAATACACCCCTAGACGCCTAGAATATAATTTTCTAGATTAAATTATTTAAAAAGCAATCCTTCCTAATATGTAATAATCCTAAAATATTTACCTAGCATATTAAATGTATATTGCTGAACCAGGTAAGCAAACACAATATTCAGAATAAACAGAATAAACAGAATAAACAGAATAAACACAATAAACAGAATAAACACAATAAACAGAATAAGCAGAATAAACAGAATAAACAGAATAAACACAATAAACAGAATAAACACAATAAACAGAATAAACAGAATAAACAGACTAAACAGAATAAACATAATAAACTGAATAAACTGAATAAACAGAATAAACACAATAAACGCAATAAACAGAATAAACACAATAAACAGAATAAACACAATAAACAGAATAA